AGACCCCTGGTCTATCTCATCTATCTATTGATCTATCTATCTTCTATCCATTCTCTGTCTGTCTATCTGTCTGTCTGTCTGGCAGCTTTAAGACTTGTGGACTTCCAACTCCCAGAATTCTTCCTCCTCCAGTCATGTTAGCTCAGGAATTCTGGGAGTTGAAGTCCACCAGTTTTAAAATGACAAGGTTTGGGGACCCCTGGTCAAACATTTCCTTCCTTCCTTTCCCTCCCCTCCCCCGCCTCCTTTACCACTTACTCCTACAACTCTATTCCAAATTATGCTCTGGGAGTTGAAGTCCACCCGTCTGAAAGTGGCTAAGGTTGAAGACCCCCCGGGCTGGAGAAATCTCCCTGGGTCAGCCTTGGAGTACTCAAGTTGAGCCCCAACACCCATTCCAAGACATGGGGGGGGGTTGGGGGTCCAGACCTGACAGTGTCTTCAACCCCCCCGTTTTCCATCCTCGCTTCTCAAGGCCCTCAGACACCCGACTGTGGTCGTTTTCCCCGCCTGCTTTTCCACCTGTTCGTGTAGCTTATCCTCCTTGCCCGGTTTGGTTTTCTGGTGCTTGGCATCCATGCACACGTTCAGCAGAGACTCCTGGGCAGCGGCCATCGCCAGCAACAACAGCAGCACCTGCCCCGTGGCATCCATCCCCCTGTGGGCAAAGAGAGAGAGAGTTAGAGAGAGAGAGAGAGAGAGAGAGAGGAGAAAGCTTGCTCCTCCTCTCTAACTCTCTGCACCCAGTTTGGGTCACCATGCTAATAAAAAATATGCAAAGACTCTGGAAAGAGTGCAGAGAAGAGCAACCAGGATGATGAGGGGGCTGGAGGATGAAACCTGTGAAGAACGGTTGCAGGAACCGGGTATGAAAAGGACCGGGGTGACATGACAGCATCTTGCAATATTTGAGGGGCTGCCCCAAAGAAGAGGGGGCCCAATTATTCTCCAGAGCACCCTAATCAGGCAGGGCAAGAAACAATGAGTGGAAACCCATTCAGCAACGAAGAACTAAGGAGAGCGAGAACCATTAACCAGTGGAGTGGTTGCCTCCAGAAGTTGTGGTGCTCCAGCAATGGAGGTTTTCAAGAAGACATTGGACAACCATTCGGCTGAAATGGTCTAGGGTCTCCTGCTTGAGCAGGGGGTTGGACTAGAAGACCTCCAAGTTCCCTTCCAGCTCTGTTATTCTATCTTCTATTTTTCCACTCCAGAGATGTGGTCTGGAGAAACATCACCAGCACCCTCTGGCCACATTCAGAGGAAACAGCAGCCAACTTCATGGAATCATAGAACAACAGAGTTGGAAGGGACCTTGGAGGTCATCTAGTCCAACCCCCTGCCCGAGCAGGAGAGTCTATCCCAAATATGAGCCTCTACCTAGGATTGAACTCACGGCCTCCTGGTTGTGAGGACGGAACTCCACCTCTAGGCCACCCGAGCTGTATATTCATCTCCTATTGCTCCCCCCTTGCCCCCCCTAGGTTTCACACACACACACACACACACACACATTTACACAGCAGGCATCGGGAAATGAAACGTCCCCCTAAAGCCCAAGTAGAGAATGAGGGCAGGCTCAACTCTGTGGCTCTTCTCTGTTTTGCTGAGGTTGATCAAATTGTCTGGCATGGTATGGGTGTCTTCTGGCTTGAGCAGGGAGTTAGACTAGAGGACCTCTGAGGGCCCTCCCAACTCATTCTTATTCTGTTTGGTCTAGGTACCGAATGGCCCAAATCCCAATCACTTGAATCATTCTCTGTAGATGGACAGCGTGGAGGTGGGGATTTTGTAAGGCAGGGGGGTCCCCCAATCTTGGCCATTTTAAGATTTGTGGACTTCAGCTTCTGGGAGTTGAAGTCCACAAGTCTTAAAGCGGCCAAGTTTGGAGGCCTCTGTTGCAAGGTCTCTAGAGGGCCAATCTCCTTCCCCAGTTTGGTGGCAGTTGGGTTTTGGGGTCCCCCCACCCCAAAGTCACTGACTGCACCCATCTTCATTTCATTTGGGGTGGAACAAGCTGAAACCTTGAAATCATAGGCTGGAAAACTGTTCAACCTGGCCAGAGAAGAGATAAGTGGCTTTAAGAGACTTTATCACATCACAGAACTATTAACTATTAATTAAGAGTGTTTCTCTAGGAGGGAGATAAGTGGTTTCTAAATATGATATACAAAATATGCATTTTTTAAAAAAACCTGTAAATCGACTAATAAGGAAATTTTAAAAAACACCCAGTAACACCCTCCCTCCTCTAAACTATAACAGATTTTTTTTTAAAAAGTTTAAGCATACACAAAGCACATTGAAAACCCAACATTAATTCTGAAACTCTACCAAATAAATATTTGCATATGTGAAGACTCTCAACAGAAATTTTTAAATGGAAAGCAAATATTAGTCAAAGAACTACAGGCGTTTCCAGTAATTTGGGGTGGTATGAGTGGTTCTTAAATCCAGTTTCTTCTTTATAATATAAAAGGAAAACGGGGCCAGAGATGTGGGTTGCTTTAACCCATGATCTATTTAACCATGATGCATTAAGCCATGATGCATTTAACCATGATACATTTAACCACAATG